ACAACAAGCCAGCGCCAAGCAGAATGCAGAAAGACTGAATGATCCACAAGCCGGGGCTGGGTCAACTTATAATGTTGATTCACGTTGACCAGCCTCTGGTCTCCAGCGTATGGTGGCCCAGATCACTCAGCAGCCAATGCCCAGGATCTCGCAGAGTTGCAGATATCCCATGGGTCCCACGTGTACCGGATTCTTCTGGATACCTGCAGACAACCACTGATGAGCATCATCTGATCTACGGCCGCGGCTGACCCACAGGTTGACTTTGACCTCTGGGCCTGGATTCCCGAGATATGGGGTTGACTGTTAACTTTCTCAAAGTGAACTGTAACCGCCCGTGCTGCTCCCCACGAATAGATTGGAGCCTTGTTGTTTAAAAAAAAAAGGAAGAAGATCTGTAACACATAGAGGCTCTGAATACGGTTTTTGGCCGTTCCCTGGGTACCCATTGGCGTTGGGCATTAACCCAGGCGTGTCTCAGACGTGGGGAGCAACTTTGGACCCCTGTTCCGGCCCTTTGACCAAAATCGTCAAGACTTTGCCCGCGGTATTGCAGATTTGAGCTGAGGTATTACTACACTCTTATCACCCCCAATAATTGGCATCCCGTGGATATTTCCAAAAAAAAAAAAAAAAAAAAAAAAAAAAGAGTGGCAGCAGACCTCACGCACTTAGCTTATCAGGTCCAAATAGGTGAAGAATCCGAACAAGAATCCGAACAACCATGCTGTCCCGGTTCAGTTGGTACAGACCCGAGTTCAAACTCCAGTAGTAGACACAATTTTTTTTTTTTTTTTTTTTTTTTTTTTTTTTTTTTTAACAAATGAGTATTAGGTAGCATGAGAAAGAAAGAGGAAAAAAAAAAAGAAAAGAAGTATTAGGTAGCGCCGGTCAGTTGCATGTTTAACCACCAGTACTTCGCTCAGCTATTGGTGCCGATCCTGAAATCGACCTGCACGCCGTTTTTTTCCGAGCCTGTAGTGGGGGGAAAATCGATTTGGAACATTTGTGGGCTGGCACTGGTACCTCCCATTATTCTGGCTGGTACCTGCTGCCAGCAGGAGGAACGAAACGGGCTGTAGCTCACTAGTTTTCACTCGTGCAGGCGTGCGACTGCCTGACGTTGCATTGGTGACAGGATTTCAATGAGCTCACTAGTTTCTCACGGGGAATCGATCAGATACTGCCGACATTCTTCTTTTTTTTTTCTATTGCAAGTTGCAACAACAACGGAAATGGAAAAAAACGGCATTCTACGCGATGGCCTTCAGTTTCACAAGTACATGGCAAGGCTTCAGGGAGGGTACATTCTGTAGACAGTTCCTTCTTGAGTCAGTCACATGAGATACAGCTGGGGCGTGGTCACACTAGCAAAGAGGATCGGATCGAATGCCTGAATCTGGACGATTTTCTGGCGAGGTGCAAGGAATCGAGATCGAAATGCTTCTCTGCATCTCTGCATAAAACACATCCAGATTCAGGAGCTTGATCCTATCCTCTTTGCTAGTGGGACCTCGGTCCTGAGGTGTTTCTACTTTAGTTGCAAGAAGAAGAAAAGAACGGCAGAAAAGGTGGTGGCTGCACGTCCTCCTTCCTATTCATGAGTATCTGCCCACAACGGAGGGAGAATACATTCTCGGGGTAGCGCTTCCCTTTGGGCCACGCGAGATACAGCCCAGATTCTTCTTGTTTTTCCTTTCTTTTGCAGCAAAAACAAAAACAAAAACAAAAACGGGAAAAGATGGTGTGCAATGCGAGTGCCTTCAGATTCATGACAGGAACTTGAATGCACCCACAATTGAGGGCGGATACATTCGTTTTGGGAAAGTGCCTAAAACACTCATTTTGTTTCAGGCACTCGGATGTAGGGTGAAACTGCCAGGATTCTCACGGGGAGTCAGCCGAGAAACTGCCAGGATTCTCTCTTCCATGGGGAAAAAAAAAAAAAAAGGAAAGCAATGAAAATAGCATTGGCTTTAGGGTGAAACCGCATCCAGAATCCAGATACATATGTCCAAGTGCTATCATGAAAATGCTTTGCCAACAGTACTTTTCCTTTATTCTTTTTTTTCGTCCTTCTCCATTTCACGTCCTTGCAAGCTTCTTTTCTCTTCTTCTTTTTTTTTTTTTTTTTTTTTTTTTAATGGCATTGCACACAGCGACGTGCATGTTTCCACATACATGGAAACCCAAGAGGACATACCGGAGTACATCGGGCAGTTTTCCCTTGGGCCCGCCGCCTTCCTCCCCCATAGCGCTTCCAACCCTTCCGCGAGCCCCTAAGAATGCGGCGCGTTAACGTGGAAGGCCCGCGGCCAATGTATGGCCCAAGTACTGGTGGTTTAATGATACCTCAAGGCTGTAGCCTTTCTTTCAAGAAGGGAAAAAAAAAAAAAAAAAAAAAAAAAAAAAAGCACTCAAGTTTGAAGGGAAGCCAGTAGCAGGCCTTTCACAACAGCAGCAAATCTCAATGGAGGAATGTAACGAGTACTAAAGACGTTAACCCTGGGGCCACCGGCAGCGTTTTAATCTGGATGTTTCTGTGGACATGTGCAGAAAGTCGCATCGAGTTCCCTCAACCGCACATCTGCCCAAACACGTCCAGATTCGGGCATTGAGGAAACTCAACGCTGCCAGTGGGACCCAGCCCAGGCCATGAGGCAGAAATTGTTCAGTTTATTTTTCCGCACAGCATCGTTTTCTCTTTTGGATTTATTGGATTATTTTTTGGATATTTTTCTCTTCCAGGGACCTGCCCTGGCCCTTCCCCAGCGGAGCTGCCTGGGCAAGCAACGTGACCCCGGCAACCTGCCTGCGCTTGGTAATGCAGGCTGATATACGATTGTTGATCCCCCCCCGCTGAACCATGATTGCAATTTTTCACAACTACCTCAAAAGTCGAAAGGGTTCCAAACCAGGGCTGTGTCGGCAAAACCAGCCGGATGGACCGGGCGGGATCGGGCGGGATCCAACCACTCCGGTTGGGCCCCCGGTGGTCCAACCGGAATTCCGGTAGGCCCCAAAAGGGGGTCTTTTTTTTTCTTTTTTTTTTTTTTTTTGGAAAACACGATTGGAGTGCGCTCGCCGAGATCTCCCCGAATCCGCAAAAAAAACTTTGAACAGAGAAGTTTCCTTTGGGAGGTTCGGGCGGGTATTTCAGGGGTCGTGGGGTGTTATGGTGGGGATAATAGTGGGTGGGGTTTCAGCAAGCACGGGCTTCAGCAGACATTGACAACAACGTACCTGGCTTTCTGCAAATGTTGACCTTCCGCCCAAAAAAATTAAAAAGGGGGGGGTGGGGGGGTTAGTGGCAGGGTAGGGGTGGTACTTCCCACCCAAAACCTTTGAAAAAGGGGGCCTATCTGGGCTGCCAATCTCTCGGGATCAGCGCTCCACATTGGCCACCCTTTTCAAGCCTTTTTGGCGGGCCTACCAGACCCTGTCTGGTTTTCTTTTGGGCCAGAAGACCTCCACGGCTGCGTGAAGGCCTCCTGGCCCAGAAAAAAAAAAAAAAAAAAAAAAAAACGGTAATCCCCCCCCAGACTGGATGCCCTACTGCCCCTTGGTCTTGTCACTGCTGTCTGGCCCAAGTCGCCCTCTATACTGGTAGGGTGATCGTCCTGAGTGCTGGTAACACTGCGGTAGGATAGTAGGGAGGGTAGGGAAGGTGGTCCATCCTGTCAGGACAACCACCAGCTGCTGCTGCCAGCGATCACCGTGGGTCTAGTCCTTGCCCTCTACACCMCCCTGGCATTTTCAACAAMAAAAAAAAAAAAAAAAAAAAAGGCTGCACGATGGCCAACCAGGGGGAGGGAATCGGCCTGGTTGACCTGCCAGTAGGACCGGTCCGGTTCCAGTTGGGGGAGAGGGCCCTGGTCCTACCGCGTTTACAGCACTGTTCCAAACTCAATACACATCACTATAGTAGCCACAAGTTAGAGCCAAAAAAAAAACAGTTGGTCTCTCCATCAGACCTTCCTTTCGAAAGTTGCAACCATGTTTGGGGGGAGCAGTCGTCGTAGTTGTTCTTTTAAAAAAAAAAAAAACCTCCTGAGAGTTGAAAAGAAAATTTTTTAAAAAATCCATCTCCAATTGACACTCGAAAGCATCAGCAAACTCCATTCATTTGGTTCTTTATTCTTTTTGTCTTGGGAACCAGCAACCTTGAGAATAATAACGGTGACAAATACTCAACCAGCGCAGCGACTTTAATCGCAACGGAGTTTACTCACTTCACCTTCACCTGTTGTTGTCGTCTGACAACACTCGAACCATAGCGGTTCATCCATGGCGAAGCAATATGACACCATCCATACGTCAGAAGTGAGGAAGGTACGAAGAAGAAGAAGAAAGAAAGGAGGAGAGAAGAGAGATGGAAACAGAAGTGGAGGAAGTGGAGGAAGAAGACACTCGCAAGATGAAAAGTAACTGTGAATATATTCCCGAACACGACTGACTCGGAAAAAAGACCGTAAAAGTGCCGAGTCAATCGACCGTGGCATGATCTGACCGGTTTCTCCGCTGGCCGCCACCCCAGTCATCTTCAGGGATCTTGACGGTTACACACAAACAACTTGAAAGACACAAATGCACACACACCATGAACTAATACATATAGCCACAAAGGACTTGATTTTTTAAGTTCGGTTCACGCATGCAACGCACAGTGCACACCACCACATTGGTGTGCTCGCAATCAAGCTGTGCATAGGCCCCAGACAATACCAAAAAAAAAAAAAAAAAATTGAAAAAAATAATCAGAAATTTTCCAAGCAACTTTTGGGTGGGATGACGTCCCAAGATCTTTTTTCTTTTTTTCGTTAAAAAAAAAAAAACAAGTCAACCCACCGCTGCGAAGCCACGGCCCAGCGCCAGCCCCACCCCAGGGGCGGCCATTATCCGGCCCGGGCGACATTGAGGGTGTTTGTTTTAGAACATGAGGGACGTGCAGCATTCGGGGGGGCATCAGCCAAGGTATCAGCACGCCGTCGGATGCTTTGTAAATCATAACTATTTTATTGTGGTCGCCGCTGGATTCGAACTCACGTCTGTTTCATGTGTCATCAACTGAGCAACCTGCCAATGTGCAAAATGAGAAGGAATATTCCGCAAGAACACAGGAAAATACACCACCACGGACAGACACATTGAAAAGAAATTCCCGTGTGAGAGTGGACTAAAGAGCTGTCAGATGCAAATGCCGCCGCGCAAACGCAAGAGAGAGAGAGAGAGAGAGAGAGAGAGAGAGAGAGAGAGAGAGAGAGAGAGAGAGTTTTCCGTCGATAGAATGAGCAACGCACCAGCCAACAGGTAAGTCTCCAACGCTACGGCTGGCCTTACACTACTTCCATCGTAGTATGAGCAAAATCGAATGAATCTCCGCTAGAACATGGAAATATGTGTGTGTGTGTGTGTGTGTGTGTGTGTGTGTGTGAGAGAGAGAGAGAGAGAGAGTCTTCCAGCCATGCACCCAGAGAGAGAGAGAGAGGCTACTTCCATCGATAGGATGAGCAAAATCGGAATGAATCTTCCACTCGAATATGGAAATCGGGCCCGCAGTATGCGGTCTCTCAGAGTCTGCTCGGGAGAGTTTCGCCTTGACGCAATTGCCAACAACTCACAACAACTAGCTGGCACATGCTGAAAAGTAGCGACGGCACAAACTCTCACCTTGCAACGCCAGAAGCACTGCTGCTCAAAAAGAATTTACTCCTGCCAACGACAGCCCGTGGGAAGTCACATGAACATAAGCGAACTAACTTTCTGAGTCTACCCACAAAAGGTTTCACCCTGCCACGTTGTAGCTCGCACTCCCACTAACCCAGGTAGTCATGTGTTCGAGCCAAGGGTTGTCGATCGTCGAAAGCATCGTAACGGACAGGGAGCGGGATGAATCCGCGCCATACCCAAGGGCGCACCATCATGGCCATGGCATGCGATACGGGCAGAGCACTGATGAAAGCTCGTCAGCATCTCATCTCTATAACGCCCCAATTGCCGAAACAGCCAGCGCGTGAATCACGCCCACAGTTTTAAAAACTCTCAAAAAGTTATGCTGCTTACAAAAAGAGTTTCACGCCCAAGGTTTCATCCTGCAACCACGGCCAACAACATGCATGTCAGCCAAGAATGGTCCCATAATACACAGCCGAACAAGCCCAGACTTCTGAACTGGAGCCATTGCGCAAATCGGGGCTTCCAAAACTCAGGACAAAAGGACAGAGACCGACATGATCGCATCGCATCCAGAGACCGAACACGTAGGTCTGTCCTTTTGTCCATGTACTTTTTGCTGCGAGGCAGTTCAAACTCAGGACAAAAGGACAGAACAGAGCAAAGATGTAGGGCCTCGCCACACTACTCCCGACTTGGCCATTTTCAGGCTTGCAGCATCGCCACACCAGCTCCCCAGTTCAACCTGTCAGATTGAATTCGGGAGGGAGCTGTCAGAATGGGACAGCTCCCGAGAGCACTCCCGAACTCACCGCCTGCAAACTTTCAGCTTCGTTTTTCGAGAGACCTCCTTGGCTCCTCCGCATTTCATCACAGATTTGGGAGTGGAGCTGGAAGGGACAAACGACTTCTGCCAGACTGCTTCACACCGATCGTGTGCACGTGCGGCAAATGACATTTTCAGACTTGGAGGACGGTCGGGTCAAGAGTGTAGTGTGGCAAAAGGCACTCCCGAGCGGGTTTCACTTCCAGGAGCGCTCCCGAAAATTTTCCAAAGTCGGGAGCAGTGTGGCGAGGCTGTACTCTTTGTTGTCAACTGGTCAGCACAATGGAACTGCGTCCCAAAAAAAAAAAAAAAAGGCAGAAAAGAATTGATTCCAAAAAGTACAAATGGCATGCATTATGACAACACATACAAACATGTGTGCTGCGTTACCAACCAGGCAGCCGGGGTCTCCTTGGTTATACCCAGGCAGGGAAGGGCAAGGGAAGGTCCCTGAAAAAAAAAAAAAAGGCCCAAAAAAAAACTCGAGGGCCAGGGAAGGTCCATGGAAAGAAAACAAAACTATGTTGAGCAGAAAAATAAACTGGACAACTTTTGCAGCAGGCTCGCATCGGAGTTCCTTTTTTTTTAATTATTCTTTTTTGGCCCAGCCGGGCAAGTGGTCCCGGGCCACTCTGGTAACATACCGTGTGTGCACAATAGAGAGGGAGAGAGGGAGGGAGAGAGGGAGGGAGAGAGGGAGGGAGAGAGGAACGGAGAGAGGGAGGGAGGGAGGGAGGGAGGGAGGAAGGGAGGGAGAGAGAGAGAGAGATGAAGAGATGGAGTGGCATAACAATGCCTGACACAGTGTTAGCGCACCATCCACAGCCTAGCGCAACAATATAACTCCCAGTCCCCCTCCAAACCTTACCGATGTAGCTATTCCCCCCGTTGATTCTTTTTTATTGCAGCCCCAGGTAATTCAGAATACGTGATTCTGGGCATTTGATGGTATCCGGATTCGAACTTAAGTCTTTATTTCAGCAGTTTGTGGGTGTACCAACTGAGCTAGGCTGGTTGTTATTTGTTGCAGGGGTAAGCCCCAATCATCTTTATTAACGAAGTCGGGCTGATTAAACGGCCAGTACACCCGATATGCTAAATGTACGAGCCTAATCTGCTATTTTGCTGATCCTGAAAGCAAACTGTACCACCCGCATGGAAAAAAGAGGGGGGTACCGGTATCGGCCTCTGTCGGACTGCACTGCTGGACATGATGCCAGCAGATGGAACAAAAAGGAGGCGGGCGTTTTCACTAACGTGCTACCCCAGCCCAACTATCCGCAAGCCATCCCCTGTATCTGGCCCAGTGTGTGTGCCAGATGCAGGCAGGAAAAAAAAAAAAAAAAAAAGAAGGGCTGCGGGTGGAATATACGAGAGAGCAGGGTCGCAACCCTGCCGGCCGCCGGCCGTATTGCAGCCGACCAGTAGGGCCGGCCGGTCGGCGGTCTGCCGACCAGTCAGAAAACAACCATCCACTGATTTTTTTTCAAATCTGAGTTGGGGG